AGCTATTTTAATGGACCATTTGTTCAATGTTCAAACCAAACCAACACATTTATGAGATGCATAAAACAAGTTCTCGTCGGAGCTACAGTACACAAGGGGTTACTTTTTAACATATGTAAACAGTCGGGGTACTGAGATGTACTCTTTTTACTCTATCACTTCATATCAGCAAACAAGAAGTCTTATTTTCAGCCGGTGCTGAAAACAAGACTTCAGATAACATAATGACAGGAAAAACTAGAAAGAGCTCAGTACTCAGTAGAGTGCAGATCTCTACCAGGTGTGTCTGCAATGACCACTACTGTATTGTGTAATCCCAATTGGCTAATCCCCCTTTAGGTGTCAGGTGTAAACTGTAAGGTGTCGTAAAACGCACTTCATTTAAACTCAAAAACAAGCGGCAGTTAATGCAGGCAATCAGTTCGAAGCCATCGTATAAGACACGTCGTACATTCTTGCCAAAAACAAAATCAAACTTCAGCCGATGAATGGTGGTGAGGTAGTGTGTGTACTGGTAGTTCCATCTGTGGTTAGCTAAAACACACCGTCCAAAACAATAAAAGTGAGCCGCTGAGCAGCGGCGGAGAGCTATGCAGCAGTATTTCCATTAGCTGTTAGCTAAACACACCACATACTGTTATCCCCCCCACTGTGGCCGCAGAGTCGGAGATGGGGGGTCGCAGATGCACTAAGCTGTGTAATCACTAGCGGCTCCTACCGGGCCAGGGACCGGTTAACAGTAGTGAGTGAGGAGTCAGCAGGAAGCTAATGGCAGTATATCCTTGAGCATTGGAGCCATAACAGGGCACCCAATATATTATGCAGTTTGTTGCAGCAGAATGCGAGATAGCCGTGGACAGAGGTGCTCACTCACTCACTCACTCACTCACTCACTCACTCAACACACTCTGACGCCAACACACACAGGACTGATCGCATGATCCTCCTGGCAGAAATAACAACAGAGATGCAGAGCATCGGCCGATGACAGTGTAGTGATACATGATTTTAAATTTCTATGTTGCACTGTATTAATGTAAAAAAGTGTAGAACACTGAGACAGAACAAGAAGATGGATGAAAAGAAAATCAATGTATTCCTCTCTCCGTCCCTCCTTCCTCCCATCCCTCTTTAATCATCCCTTCAGTTAACAAGGTTCATATGTGACCCAGTGCGTCCAGATGGTCAGCTCTCTAACTGGCTACTATTGAATCAGAACAGCGGGGCCTCCATTAATCAACCAATCACAGTCTTGCAGAATACAATTAAGTTCCCATATAATTGGCCTGATTGGTGGAGAATATTAACGAGCTGTGCTGTAATTGGCTCTAATGAATGAAGGACTGGGGAGCATCTTATTTCCTGCTCTACTTGTCACCTGTTTTTAGCCAATTACCAAAGCTAATGAAAATGAATGTCGTTAGCTTGTTCGCCACGATAATTTGAATGGATGTCACTCTAGCCTTTAATCTCACAGAGCATTATAGCTCCATAGCATAATGAGGAGGTCTTTTCTGTTCTTCACAGGACCGTTCTGCTTGGTAAATTGGCGCCAGCTGATGCTCTTGTTTCTGTTTCAGTATAGAGAAAACTGCAAATTTAGTTTGATTAACTAGCCAGAAAGCTTACTGATTTACTTGCTTAATGTGCTACTTTGCTAGCTTTATGGTGACTTATAGCAGTGGTTGGGCAACCTGGGGGTCACTCATTGGTTTAATTGCTCACAGCTAATGTCTAAAGTATGGCCATGAATAGAATGGGAGCAAATGAAAGAGCTATACAAGCGGGTGTGGAAGTGCTGTTGGTCATGCAAAATTGTTGGCAGTAGGTAGAATGTAAATACTGAAAATGGTAATGAAATTGTAGCATTTAATTATCAGTATTTATTTATTTGCACTTTTAGTATTTTTTTGTTCATTGGTACTTTTTAAATATACTTATATAATGCTTATGTAAATGCCTTTTACAGTTATTTTCTTTACTACTTGTTTACATTCCTAACCTTCATTTGTCCAGCTTTGTTTTCCTCTTTACTAGCTGTTATTCTATATCTGTGTAAGTAAATCTAGGGACATGCAAAAAAAAAATTCTGCAAGAGCACACGTGCTTGTCAAATAAATCAGATTCTGAAATTGTGGCTATGGCACTGTCTGCCTACTGTCTATACTCTCTTTCTCTCACTCTGGCTATAGACTTAAGAAGTTAGTATTGGCTCCTCCTGTCAGACACATGGTATACAAAATGATAAGCAGATAATAAGAATGAAGTGAGATGTTCTGCAGTGTGACAGTCTCTTTCCTATGGAGAGTACTTAAATCAGGACTGTATCAGCCGAAGGCTGATTAGCTGGAATCAATGCTAACAAAACAGTCCACAGGGTGCATTCATCACAATGCTTGTCACTGCACTGTAGCTTGTGTGCTCATTGTTTAACATTGTTTATATTCATTCATCAGATTCCTTTTCTAACCATGTGCCCATTCAGTTAAGATTCACATTGTGTTCGTGTTGTCTTCTTTGTATTTGACAATAACAACTACTAAGGGTCGGATTGCCATTTTGGACAGCTATATATAACCAACTATCTCCGTCACTTTGTGTGTATGTTGCTTTCCTTATTTCTGTGATATGTTTTCCTCTCACACCAAAGGGTGTCTTGGCATCGGTCTGCCACAGAAGAGGGGGACCCTCTCTTCTCTTCTCCCGTCAATGCTGTCTATGTCTTTAGGTACATTTAAAGTCTCCTCTCCTCTCCTCTCGTTGTGAGTTGTACATTTGACCACATCTCCCACAACTGCTATTCCACAGTACTTATTCAGAAAGCTTGTGAACTCTCTGTAGGGACCATTTGATGTTGTGGCTCATGGCAGAGGCAGGGAGGTCAGCTCATACACAGAGCATCTACTGAGGTGTAGTTGGCACACAGACGTATGCGACCGTCTTCCTCTATCTTTCTCTCTGTCGCTCTCTGCCTGTTGATTTACCTCATGGTTTCTATCACTCTCGCTCATTTTTTTTCTCTTTCGCTCTTTCTCACTCACACAAAACAAACAGGCAAAACTCAACGTAACTATGACTGCAGTTGCCACAACACTCGTCTCCCATGAGTCCCCGAACAGCCAAGCACAAGGGGAAGACAGCAGTGATCCGACTGTTGGCATCGGCCACAAATATGCATTATGGGTGTAATATGTCTGGGGAGAGATTGCTGGCCCACCCAAGCTCCTCAACTGGCACTGATGAACACACACACACACACACACACACACACACACACTTGATGTTACTCATAGAGATGTTATTCATTTTGCATCATATTAAAGGGCAATGGAGAGTTTGAGGCTCTGAGGCCACATTTGATTGAAGAGCAGAGACATTTTGCTCCGTTCCACCGCGATAGACGAGCTCTGGCACCTCCGCGAGGACAGGAAGTTAAACGCAAAAGGACTTTTAAAGCCTTTCTCGTTTGTTTTTTTAATAACTAACCAGCAAACTTTATTTTTTTCAATGTATAACTTAATTTCAATGAAGCAAGAAAACCTTTTTATGAAAATATGTCGTACCATATTTGTTTTTATATTTAATGTATTATCTATGTGATTAATAACGGTGATGTGAAATGTTGTGAAAAATCAGTCAATACAACCCTAAATAAGAGAACAAAAAATGTTTTTTTCCTAGAAAAGGAAAGAAGGTGCTGCCCTACGTAGACCCAATTAAATGTTTTTCCTGATAAAAGCATTGCACAGTGAACAACTTTAACAAGCAGACAGTTTGCATCATGAGGAAGTATTTCGCTTAAATATGTATGTTTTGTCCTGCAAGTGAACAATTTGAGAGAATGTGTGAACTCAAAAGAATATATATCTGCCAAAAAAAAAAGGTTTTGCCTTACTACTCAAAACACTATCGCGGATATTACACGTTTACATTTCTTTAGAGACAAACTGTGTCACCCAGTTTTACAGCACTGTTGGCTGAATATAAACTGAAAACCCATCATTGGGTCAATTTGTCTATTTTGTGTTGAGAGCTGATCCTGTGAGGTCATTTCCCCTCTTCTGTCAATTGAATTTAGTGTTTTGGCATCGTTTGATATGATCACCGCTAAATTTTACTGCAGAGTCTCTCAACATTTCTCAGCCTTTGACCCAAATGTAAAATTTAGTGGGCTCATGAACGTGCCGTGGGGATTCATTAAGTGCGTCTCTTCATGACCTCAATGAAGCGTCCAAACTCTTACATTTAAAAAAAAAAAAGGGAGATGGCAACAATATCTATATATATATGCGGTAGTTGTAAAATATAGAAATCATCCACTGAAAAAGGTAAACCCTAAACTGCACTATAGGAACTCTGTCTCCCCTCCATCATTAGTGCTGCCAGTCTGGCATTTGTCTACAGCACACATGTGGAATGGGCGCTTTATTTCACTCTAGCGTGGTCCATTACTCTCTGTTAAGTCATTTATATTGATATACTGGCATCATTATTGAATGGGTGTGCTATATCGTCAGTGCTGTGCAAACCTACTCGTCTCCTATCCATCATGGGGCCGGTGGCCTGGACTCTGTTCTGCTGTGAAAGTGGCAGATGGGCAACATATTTGTGCTCAAGTAGGAAGTGCACCATGAAGTTGAGTACTGTACTGTTTTGGCTGTAGCGGCCATGCTGTGTTTTGTTTGGTACCATATTTGTCTTTGCTCTGTCAGCAGGTAGGTGGTCTGGAACCTGTCTTACTGCATTTTGACAGGAACTTGAAAAATGAGAGCGTGCTTGCGTGGCGTTTCTTTTTTCTAATGGCCACGGAAACAGCATCTTTGTAAGATACAGACTGAGCAGGAGGCAAATAGCAACCATGTCTTTTTGCAATCTAAGCAGTGCAAATTGAGTTTCATGTGCAGGGGCCATGGTTTCTGATGTGTTTTCATTCAATTAATTACATTTCAAAACCTATTAATTGATTTACATATCATTTCCAATTTTTTCTCTCTGCACAGTGAGGAAGGGGAGGAGCCAGAACCCAACAGCCATGAGTCTGCAGTTGTCAAGACCATGATCAAAGGACCTGTTGCCATCCAGGGTAAACACTGTGTGTGTGTTCCACTTGTGATAGCAGCTCATCTTTGATGTTTTTTTTTATTTACTTCTTCCCACATTAACAACGAGCACTGGTTATTGCCAGCTGTAATATTTCCACTCTGTTTAAAATATGATTCATGGGTCGAGGAAGAATTGGCATGTGTCCTATTAATCCACCGAAATAACGTTTTGTGAAGGCATTAAAGAATACAGAATGTATTCATAATATATAGGTTTCAGCAACTAAAATACATTTTTTGTTCATCGAGCCAATTGCTGCATGAAATCTGTGAAATAGTACATTACCGCCTAAGTTCCGTTGCAAAATCCAACAAAAGTGTATCTGTCTGACTGTGTGTGAGTTGCTTTTACTGTAAGCATGTTGTGGGAGTGTTTCACTAAATTAACTATAGCGGAGAATAATCAGACTAATGTGCCTCAACTGTTTTCTTAGCATAAGTCACGGTAAATGCTGTAGAGTCCCCCAAAATAGATTCCTAAGAATAAAACTCTCATTTAGGAATTGAACTAAATTTTATTTCAAGTATGTATTTTGATTGATTAATGTATCCGACCTACAGTTCAACATAATATTGTTATTTTTTTCTTATACAAAAAATGTTTGGTTCCAAATCCTGGCATAGTGTAAAACTGATTTACTGCTGTAGGATTGAATGTTGTTTCAGCCAGTTAGCAAGGGGGACAGAGGCTTATTTTCCGTGCTTGAAGCGTGACACATGTTGTGAAATAGGTCACTGCAGACTTTCTTTTTCTTTTCTCGTCTTTTTCCTCTGTGGAAGCCCATTAAGCAGGCGGGAAGGCCCCGCTCTGCCTATGGCGCCTTGCTCACTCACACGTGTAGCAGTTTTACTCCGTTAGAAAGATAATATTTACTGAAGGGACCTGTCGGGAGTTATGAATAAAGTTTTAAAGGCAAGCCACAGAGCTGCAGTATAATGGCCCTACTCCATCTGCACTCAGACCATAGATTCAGAGATTGAATGTCTTTTCTGCACATTATTCTGCTTTTCATGTACATACCAACATATACATTACGTCTGTGAGTATATATTTATGAATCTAGCCTAATATGCTTCAACTTTTACCCCATCCATTCTGTCAGCACAAGTCAGTTCTCTCCCTGATGTAATTGCCACTCTACAAAAATCGTAAACGTAGTCACTTACCCATGGACCCAGGCTCATGAAAATATACTACTAGCCGTATAATGCCCTAGAAGCAGTAAGCCACTGATCCGTTATGAATCCTTAGTTGCAGTTAAGGAACCCAGACCGTCGGACACTGCCTTGTTGCAAATGCCTATTGTAAAATACTGTATATTGGCATGATGTTCAAATTCGAAAAATAAATAAAAAATAGGTACTTTTAGTGACAAACCTACAGAGAATTATCACCTGAATTTGCAGGTCTATAAAGCTCTACAGAGCTTTACAGCAAGTTTCAGCTCATTGCTGTTTAACCCGTAAGTTTTGGTTTTGGTTCACTTCTGTTCAAAAACAGAGCTAGAAGAAGAGTGAATACAACTATTGTATTTATCCAGAAACACAACTCCAAATCCATTTGAATGTTGCTCTGCTGGTTGTTTAAATAAGCAGCTGTTTGCTACCAACTTCGCTAGATCAACGTGTTGATATGTTCTGTTCACAACTTGTTTCTGCTGCCCCCAAGTGGCCAAACAAATCTGTTATTGCAGGTTCAACCAGGGATTAACCTCTGGGTCTGATAAGTGAAGCCAATGAAGAAGTGCTTTAAATTTGGATTATTTTTAGTAACCAGAAGACGTGACGACTCTGCTTGCAAAAATAAGTCAGATTGTATTGAAGTCCAAGGAGAAAATGGCCCTACTTCTGACTTGATTTATTACCATACTAAACTTTGTAACATGAGTTTATGTTCTCAAAAGCTAATTTCAAGTCTTCTTCAATACAGCATGATGTTCATTTTGGTAAATGATGGTCCCATTTACAGTAAAATAGAGGGAAACGCAGGGTATGCTTTAGGAGTTGGCTACCTTGTGATTGACAGGTCGCTACAATGGCATTTCCGGTCTGGGAGTTGTCCTTGTTTTCGGTCCTACAACTTTTACCTTTTCACTGTGTGTTTTAAGACCATAAAAGTGATTGTAACATTTTGGTCACCTAAAAATGTCTTCATGCGTTCGGTTGCTCCACCCTCTTGTGTCACTTCTGGTGATGGTGATGGACAAAATGCTGAACAAAAGGTTCCAAACGGTAGTCCACGGACCAATAGGTGACGTCACGGTGACTGCGTCCAATTCTTACATACAGCCTATGGGTTTAACCTGAAATTAATTCCTTACAAGCCCCAACATTTTATGTAAACCCGGCCCCATTCCTAGCCGAAACAGACACACTTAAACATGGCATGTTATGGTAAATCCAAGCTCTAAAAGTAGCCCTAGCCTCCCCAAGCACACACATACAAAAACAAATCTCCATCCACAGTGTGGAGATCAAAGGCCAAGCTACATGTTTAGCCAGGTGTGGGTCTGGGTTTTAACTGAGGGGATGTCTTGGTGGTCTATGTCTGTGTGTGTGTGTGTGTGCATGCACATAATATGCATAGGAATGTGTCAAAGGTGGGGTGAAAGATTCAGGGAAGATTGATGGGGTGAATTCATGGTTTTGACAACAGTAGTCAGCCAGCTGCGTGCACCGCCATGACACCTGCTGGGTGTATAGACAAAGAGGGTAGAGGTCAAATAACTTACACACCTGGGAGGAAAACACAGACGCACACAGACACACATCCGTTGTGATGCTCTGAGTGCTCACTTCTTTTGTTGTCAATTTGTTCCTTCTTCCTTTTACCGTCTCTGTTTCATCATTATAACCTTTTATCTCCACTCCATCTTCTTCAGGTCACGGTCCACGTACAGGTTTGATCACCCCATCTTTCGGTATGAAGGGTAATGGAATTGCCAGTGTTCCGAAAGGTCCTGTCCCAGCCCGACCTTTACCTCAGCCCCACCCTAAAGACGAGGACACCCTGGTCCAGATGGCAGAACACATCCCTGCTGGGACTCGGACGCCCATGTGTGCCCACTGCAACATGGTGATCAGGTGAGGGACAAATACCGTGGCTAATGCTGTCACGTCATTTATCAACTTACGAATGACTTAAGGATCTTTGAAGGGACTATATGGATTTTTATAATCCTACGTTTTTAACCAGGGGCCTCTATTTACCTACAGTGATCACTGTACACGCATTATTCTTGGTAGCAAGCTGCAGAATGAATATCATGAATGAAGAATCTATGGCCTCACTCATCAGGATGGAATGAGGCTGTCATCACCATGTATAGTTCAAATTGTGAGAGAAAACAGTTGACATGCATGGCGTTTCGCTCTATCATGTCATGCTCATATGCTGCTTGCACAAGGATATAATCAAAAAACAGGCAATCTCTTCCACTCGGCTGCACAGACATCCATTTGTACTTAAGCAAATTAAGATCGGAAAGGAAAATATGTCCAATTCTCAATTATTCATTGTCCCAGTTCAGCACTTAAAATAATTGACTGGGGAACCCATCTCGGGTAAATAATCTGCGTATGAAACTGTAGAACTACAAAGATCTGACTGTAGTGTAGATAAGGGGAAGGGGAATTAAGTTGCACCTGCAGATCAAACTGTGGTGATGTTGCACACGTACAGTATGTAGACACTGAATGCAAAACACACACACACACACACACACACACACACAAACAAACACTATATAGGCTGATACAACTCTTGGTTATCCTGTTCAGTTTTCCGCTTAATTATAGGGTTTGTCTTTTTTTGTTTTCCTCTTGTGTAAATCCAACAAGAGCTGTATACATGTGCACATCACTTCCTCATCCTCCTTCCTGCCTACTTCTCTTCATCTCATGACTGCCCTAACCCAACTGTTATCTAACTTGTGTCACCTTACATGACATCCCACTAAGGATATAGGGTAGCTCACATGCTAATGGGGGCCAAGCCGAGAATGCTCAGATAAGCATAGCTAAGCTATTGTGTGGAGTAAATTAGTCTCTGTTGTTTTCCCACTTTACCTAATCATCAAAGTGGACAGTGCCAAGGTGCTGTCTCAGTGGACGCAGAGGGCGATGGTAGCAGTAAGACCTTTTATGACGTCAACACATTACATTTCTAAACTGTGTTCCTCGTTTCTGAAGCAACAATGAGTGACCTGAATGGAATACTGAAACAATGAATCCATTACTTGATCGAACAATTCTGATACTAATCATAATAATCACAATGTACATTGTGATCAATGTAATGACTCTGTTATAGGAAGATCGGAGAAGCAGGAAATATGCTGAGTTACCAAGAGGCAGCTTGTAGAAGTGTGTTATTCACATTCATTTATTCATTTGCGGTTTGCCCCATTCGCCCTCTAGTGGCTGTTTGTAGACATGACGATGAAAACACAATACATTAATAACTACATGACCTATCAGCATAACTGTGGAGCAATGCAGTTTACTTTGCATATGTACTTGCATTCATGACGAGGTAATCATCATAATACAAGTACTTATAATAATTAGCCTGTGTATCATGGGTTCATTTTTTCCAATACAGAGTTATTTGGTAACTTCAGTTCAAAACTTAAAGTTGATTGCCACTTATCCTGTTGTCTCTTCTTGTGTTTTTTCCCCCCAGAGGACCATTTTTGGTAGCAATGGGGAAATCATGGCATAAGGAGGAATTTAACTGTGCCCACTGCCGTACATCCCTGGCAGAGATAGGCTTTGTGGAGGAACAGGGATCTGTCTACTGTGAACACTGCTATGAAGATTTCTTGGCTCCGTCATGCAGCCGCTGCCAGGCCAAGATACTGGGGGTGAGTTGGTGTGAAGCTAAATAGAGCAGGAGGGTGTGTGTGTGTGTGTGTCTGTGTGTGTGTGTGTGTGTGTATACATTGTTGTCTGGCTGCTCTTGTCTTGTCTGTTTTGTGATGGCCATTCAACAGAATGTACTGTACAGTTCAGATTCATTAACTTTGATAATTTCATGCAATGCTAAAAGACAATGAAGATGACAACAAAACTCTAGCATTGCAGTGCAAGGAAAGATAACGTGGAGAATTTGCCTGAAGATTTTAAGTCGGTACCATTCACTCACTTGTACAGCTGACCTTTACATTGTGTGTGTGTGGCTGTTTCAAACTCAACCACCTGTTGTTTGGAGACCAAAAGCGATACTTCTCTTGGCAAACCTCTTCTCAGTGCAAACCTGTCACACAGACCAATGTCTTGACTTCATTTGTTTTATAGCTTTTGTGCTTCAGAATGAATAAACAGTGTGTAACACTGTGAACAGACTGGTTTACAGCAACTACATCTTGATGTTTGTAGCTAAAACATCCAACTTCTCAATGTGAGATTAAATAGAAGTTGACCCAACCTTTAAACTGATACATGTGTCAGACTTTATTGCTATGGAATCCAGTTCTCTTCATACCTTCTTCTGTCATTTTACTTTGTGCATTAAGACCTATTTTTATCAATCTGAGACCAACTAATAAAGATACATTAAATGTACAGGTGTAGACATCTTCAAATGTTCACCTTTAGGGTCAGTCCAACCCCGGACGTGCATGATAAATGCTTTGGAGGCCAATGTAAGAAAGCTATAGGGAATTTCTATAGTGACCACCACTGAAACTCAGGAATGTGGTATATGTTCTGGTGTTAGGAGAATTAGGCTTAGAGGCCTCGAGGCTGCAGGTGTAGCATGAACCCAGAGTGTCAGGAAGCTGAGATCTCTGCTCTCATAACAGATCTGACATTTATCCCTCACGTGTTCTAACCTCTTTAGCCTCTATGCCTTTCAACCCTCTATTTCTCACACATCTTCAACCAGCTTACAGCTTCTTATTAACCTGTTTTCTCACTCCCTCTCCCCTAATCCTTCATTTTACTGCGGCCCACCAACTTTCTATTGATTCCCTGTCCTGTCTTGTTCTCACAGTTTAAGGGTGGGAAAGAAAGCGGTTGGTCTATTTTATGCTGGGGTCATGTGGCCCACAAGAAAAGAAACAAACAAAGTATTTAAATGTGACATGAGAAGAAGACAGACTGCAGGAGAGTCTGTACATTTCTGATAACAGAGAAATGTATCCGTTATGATCAAGTAGGGGTTGATAATAGAAATGCATGTTTTTGTTCAGACATTAAATGCACAGCAGTGCTACAAATAATGACCCAATAAGCATTCAACACGGCAGCATCCCACCAAAAGCCTCTGTCTCCTGGATCTAATGTTCTAGTTACTGTGACCGACTCGCACAAAGACCAGTGCTACTAATGAACTGCATGATGCCTCCAACTAACCACACTGTTTGCTTTTTGCTCCCAGGAGGTGATAAATGCCCTCAAACAGTCGTGGCATGTCTACTGCTTCCTGTGCGCTTGCTGTCAGCAGCCAATCAGAAACAACACCTTCCACCTGGAGGATGGAGAGCCATACTGTGAACAAGGTGAGTGATATGGACTCTGAACAATATGCTGATTGGGCACAGAGATCTTGCTGACGGGGCGGATGAAGGCTGATTGGAGGACAAAAATCGGTGGATTGAAAGACAAATGTAGCTTTGTTATGAATAGACTTTTATTTTGGTGCCAACAATAAAGAAATAAATTAATTTCTGTAAAAAAAAATAAAGTGTTGATATTGTGTTCCGTGTGGTGTACGTCATGCCATGTTGCTTTGTGTGTCAAAAGACTTCTACAATATGTTTGGGACCTGCTGCCATGGCTGTGAGTTCCCCATTGAGGCTGGAGACAAGTTCCTGGAGGCCCTCGGTTACACCTGGCATGACACCTGCTTCATCTGCACTGTAAGTGAAGGATTAGTATACTCACAGTACAGTTAATTAAGAGACTATTATCCAGCTGACTGGACAAACACGCAGGAGCAGATTCAGTGATGTGATAAATGCACGTTCTGGCATTTTTATCATTATTTCTAATGAGATGGTGAGTTATCAATGAGGAGTTTAAAACTTTACTTATGTAACCGTTCTGTGTGTGTGTGTACGTGTATATTTTTCCTCAGGTGTGCTGCACCACTCTCGAAGGCCAGACCTTCTTCTCCAAGAAAGACAAACCTCTTTGCAGGAAACATGCTCACACACTGAAGATATGAATCTTGGACTTTCTTCACAACTTTCTAGCCTTACTTTCTCCCTTGGTGGATGGGACGGCCTCTTTATAGTTCTTGCAACAATAAATCTCAAGCAATACTCGCACGAGTATAGAGGTCAGAATAAGGGAAATATTGCCATGAATGCAAAAGTAAACTTGTTCTTGTCTTTGTACTGAGAACCATTGTAACACCAGTACTTTCCTCATGAGCAGCAAGTAAAGAATCACTGTTTTTACCACATTTCACCACAAATATTGATTTTAATCTGGATTTTATTGGCTCATGCATCCAAAAATAGAATAGTTTTACTGCCAAATGGTGATGATCACCAAAGTCAGACGTTCAATATGTAGGATTTTGTGATTCTAGTCTTTGACTTTATCCTATAGTCGTCATTTCTTAATCCAGAGTTTGATATTGAGCCCTAAATATATATTATCATACATACAAAATAGAAACATGTGTAACAAAATATGAAGGCCATATTATGTATATCTATGTATATTTGCTTACTATTATTGACTGACTTATCTTGATAATTGTGCTCCATACTGAGTGCCATATAGTTCAATGAACCATATTCATATTTTTACTTATTTTATCTCGTGCTATTTATAAAAATTGCATTCTTTTGTGGTTGAGTCCGTCCTCCATCTGCTTCAAAAAAGTGAGTAGCTCATTCTGTCCTGACCTGCAGGAAGAGAAGGTCAAACATAATCCTTGTGTTGTAAACTGTATATTTTATTTTGTTTATATGAGTGAGAAATGTCTTATCTGACAATATGTATTTAACTGTTTGAGTAACTGGGCTTTTCCTCTTCAGGGAATGGATTGGGGGGGGTTAGTTCTCTGTTGTTAGTATCAATATGTTGACTTGGAGATATTGACTTGTTATAATGGCTGAGGGGTACACTTGGTCTTTTCTGTTTAAATTAAAACACCAGAATACATGGCAGCAAAACTCACCTATTATTAATTTCACATATCAAAAGAAATCTGTGTTTTTTACGGTATGTGACAAAACTGTACAGTGTACAGTGATAATCCAACATGGGGAAAAGAGGCTAAAGTCTCTAAAAAACAATTAAAATGGATCTGATTTGTTTAATAAATGATGCTCTTTTAAACCCCCAAAAGAAATATCCTGTGTTTCCTTATGTTTGCTTTCTTCTCGCTCAGTGCAATACTATCTTACCACACTAAACTTTCTGCATTGCTTGAGAAAACCACATGGCAGCACAGAGGAGTCTGACATAAGCAGTGTGAAAAGCAGATGTCAACGCATGTCTCCACTATGCTGAGAAAGGACAGAGATGGAAAGAAAACAGAGAGGTGAAGCTGTGAGAGATGAGGACGTGAGCGTCGCCATGGTTGTAAGAATCTGTGAGTGATTCTTATCCAAATATTTGTTTCACGTTTTTACAAGACAAATTTACAAACCAAAAAAGACCCAGCCAGCCACCCACCACACAGACCAACATCACCTCCTTAGTATTACAATCATAACATACTGTATATTGATTACCCTTACAACAAAGAGTAATTCATCTTTACCAAGTAATTCATGTTTAAAGCTGATGCCACTCCAAGCCATTTCTAAAATGGGTATTTTTGTACATTCTTGGCAACAATACAATAACCTCATGCGAAATCTGCAGGCGTAGCTCCTTTCCACTCATTTAACCTCTTTTTTTATCTCTTGTGCATGGACCACCATCAGCTGACACTAAGACACAAGTATATGCCACACTAAACAATTTTAAATGTCTTCTGGTCTATTATGGGCATTCAAACATGCATGAATTATCACACAGACCTGCCCTCGCAGCTTCGTCTGCCGATGGACACCTTACCACGCACAATGAAATGGGAGCATTGCTAAGTGCAACGATGCCTCTGCAACAAACGGTTTATGGGTTATAAAAGGGCTGAAAGGTCGGGGGGCTATGAGTCAATTTTTCAGGCCTGGAGTGTAATCATGGCTGAGAAATTCGGAGCAGATTTGACAAGGTACACTGAAGTTACAACAATTTCCTTTTTTTATGGCGAAAGGAGATAATACAGCAAACAATGTTCCATGAAAATGAAAACGTTTAATAACTTTGGAGCGCAAAGGTCTCTTTTCCTGACCAAATCTGTAGGAGGAGTTCATTAAAGTACAGAACCTGTAAGAGGCTCAAAATAGGCTAAAAATTGAACATTAAATTCAAAATGGCTGACTCACTTTTGAGTTTTGGCATTTTTGTGCATCTCCACATGTTCATCCGTCTACCAAATTTCATAAATGTCTGTGAAACCTCAATGAGGGGCCTAATGTTAGAGACATTTTAGGGGGCACTATGGAGCCATAAACCCTCACCCTTCACAAAAAAATAAACATAAATTAAGTCCACAACGTCTAATGGCGTGCAAGCAAAATGTCCCAACTGTTTGAGCACTGTAAGCCTGTTTGTCCTTCTGTTTGTCCAGATGAAACACACAGGAGGTTCTGGATCTCCTCCTGGATAGCGTTTTGCTGCTGCTGAAAGCGGGAAGCCTGGGATCTCTGTCTTCTCAGGCCTCCTCCTTCTGTTTTTGGGGAGCTTCCCCCATCCTGCTTAGTTTATTCTGCAGCTTGGGACCTTGAGCCCTTCCAAACACTCTCCAACTCCTCTGCTTTTGAGCAAGCCTCAGACTCTTCTGTGTTTTTGTTAAACAGCTGCACCCTCAGGTAATGAATGGTGCTTCCAGGTTGCACCAAAGTCCTATTCAGCAGGGAGCTCTAACTTCATTGCCTCAAATTCATTTTTGATGGGCCACTTTCTTTACCTTTGAATGGTCCATGGTGTTGGAGGCCGGTTGCTTGACTCCTTCTGAGCTTCCTTCAGCATCATGCTGATCCATCTCACCTGGGATTTCAGATTCTCTGTATCTGGAGAGAGGAGATAGCTACATATCTCTCTCTGCATCAGATCTTTCTAAACATCTAATCATCTTTCTATTCTTGGAGATGATCAAGGAAATTGGCCAAGAGTCCTCTCGTATTTCAAGGTGTACTCTCCCCTTGGATCCACCTTGGATGAGGCTCGCTGTCCTTCAGTTCTCCTGCTCATAAAGGCAGCTAAATATTGAGTGAGTGTAACATTTATTTTCTAAGTTGGAGCCATTACTTCCTCCAGAAAGTGTATGAAACAGTTTGTTTTTCTTCCATTTGAAAGGAATCAGTTGCTGACCAAGCATCACAGACAAAAGAGACTATGATAGTATGAGGGTCAGGCTGAATCATCCTCCAGTAGTTTATGTCAGAGGTTATGTAATGGTAGTTTACATAGGATATCTGATTTGGGATTGGTTGTGCTAATTGCCTGTAATGCATCATGATTTGCAACATTTATTTGTAGTGTTTTTCACATAACACTTTTTACAAAGTGTATGCTTTCCCATCAAATTAATGTGAAAACACTGAAAAGCTCCTGTAAAAAATACATTTAAAAAAGCCTAAATTGCTAATAATTATAGTGGTTTTCAAATAAACACATTAGTTCCTGCACTTTGTTTTTTTCCAGGTTATTAGTGAATATATTATTACCGGTGAAGAGACAGCACAATTAGGCTTTTTTTAGCTGTTCATTATTTACAGTAGTTGTGGAAGCCAGTCAGGGCATGACTTCACTCAATCACCTTTGTCTTTGCTTATGCGCTTCTCCGTGGCATTAATCACCCCTCATACTGCTCGTGAGTGTGTGTGCGTTTGTGTGTGTGTGTGTGTGTCTGGGTGTGAGTAAAGAGAGAGAGAGAGAGAGAGAGAGAGAGAGAGAGGGGGAGAAAAGCCACAACTCTGGCGTGGAAAGAGACCGACTGGCATCTGTCCGGAGTAGCCTACCGAGTGCTAAATCGTCTCCTCTTCATCAATATAAGAAAACAAAGAAAGTAGCCTATAAGGTGAGTAGCCTAACGATCAACTTGGAGTGGAGGCGGGTGACTCAACAAACTCTTTGCGTGGTATTACTCTTCCAAAGTGACGCGACTGTTTGCAAACAAACCCCTTCGGAAGTGACAGGCGTTGCTCCTTTTGTTTACTAGGTGTTGACAGTCTGCTGCTCGTGCGGTTGACTCATTTATTGGAGATTTAGCTGAGCGCGTGGACGTTGTAGCAGCATATAAGAGTAGAAAAGTTTCAGTGATATAGAGTTTGAACAGTCTGCCCGTGGCTTCATATCAGCGGCGTTTACGTTCTTCTCAGCGCAGCATCATGTTTGGCCTTTCAGGATCACAGCATTTGTCATGAACCTATAGGACACTGTACTGCGTGCGTTGGGGAAACAATGTCCCAAAAAGGAGCAAGCATTACTGAACAGTGGCAGTGAGATTTGTTTTCATGTAGTGATTCATTTGTCAGGGCCAATATGTTTAGTTGTATTTGGTGTGAATGTGTGTGTGTGTTCAAGGTACCAGAAAATAACAATTTATTGTCCATATGTATCTGTGTAGTAGTAAAGGTAATGATCATATAATACAAGTTATTTTCAGAAAGAAACCAAATATTTTAACACTGACAGAGACGCACATAATGAATGTGGTCGCTAATTTCACAGTGATGATTTTCCTCTCACCAGTTTTTTTTAGGTATTACACATAATGGGAGACAGCATCATAAAAAAAAACAGCTGGATGTTTTAACTCAATTATAGTTGTGAGAGCGGATCAGCACATTACAAGACCTTGATAGCTGGTGTTTAGACGACTTTAAATCCAATACATTTCACTCAATTTAGATGCAGCTTTCTTTTGCACTAATAATTCCTGGATTGTGTTTCTTTAAAACGTTCACATGGAATGTGTCTGCCGAATGCTTTTTTTTAATGAATTCTGTAAAAATATTAATACAGATTATGTTCAACAATCACGTTACTCAGGTACCCTCACAACAAGTTGAAACCCTCTCTGGGATTCTTTGTATTTGGGAGACTGGCTCTACATATTGGAGTAGCAAAGACCTCCCTTTAATTTTTGAGACTTGGTGAAGTGAGCCCCCTTCTTCTTCAAGGGCTCAGAAAGCAGAAAAAAAGAGCCTCAACACAGCCTCCAGCACTGAATAACCTACAACCCCGTATTCCCCATACACCCCACTTATACACACACACACACACACACACACGCGGGCATGCACAAAGTATTCAACTCTCTCTCCGAGTCCAGTAACCAGGTCCAGGTGTTTGTCAGTGTGGGTTATGACAATAGTATATCTGCATGTGTGTGTACGTGTGCACATGAGCAAGCATGAGTGAATGTATATCCAGATGGCATAACGCTGTGGCTACAAATCTTACCTCACCTCATCTGAGGGGGTCCGGGGGCAGCAACACCGGGGAACCACGCAGGAAAACACTCAGCAAATGTGAATGAGAGGAGCAGACATCCAGATGTGTGTGTGTGTGTGTGTGTGTGTGTGTGTACTGTTTTCTTGGTTTGTCAATCCAGTAAGTATACGCAGTTGTTGAGGCTTCACAAGAAACAACAATTTAACTTAGGTCAGGAACGCATCACGCAAATCTGAGAAACAGCCACATTCTCAATTGGCTGTGTAATTGAGTTTCACATAGCAGCTGTAAACACAACATTTCCCTAATTTTCTGTTCCCGTTGTGTGTGTGTGTGTGTGTGTGTGCGCGCGTGTGTGTGAGAGGGAGCAGTTGAGACACTTAAAAAGTTTCAGACATCTCGTGACGCGAGACAAGGTGTCTGATTCTGACTGCTGGAAATTCAGATAACAGTGCTGGTGCTCAATCTACGCGCCAAGAATAGCAAATTTGTTAAAACCAAACTAAATTTCCGTCTGTTGAGTGGGACAGAAAGAGGAAAAGACTGACATAGGATACAGTCAAAAGGGTACATGACCATGCACAATGGGCCTATGGAGCAATATTCAGTTTATATCAAATGTCTGGTAAAGTCTGCTTGATTTATTCGAAGTGAGGTCAAAATCAAAATGAGAAAAAAAAAAATTGTTAACATACCCACATATCACAAAAATCTGTCGACGTATTTCCATATTTAAATATGTAGCTCTCAGAGAGTTCAGAGGAAATGAGATTTGGATCTCCCTACAGGGTGAGCAGTGGTGGCAGCCAGTGAACTTTCTCAAGTTTTCAGAACAACGTCCAAAAATGTTATAAGATTTTCATAAATGTGTCGTGTGCTTAACCATCTGACACTGCGATGGTTGCGTGCCTCTCACGCTTCTCCACTTATCGGGGGGGGGGGGGGGGGGGGGACCTTACTTAGGAAGCTGTAAATTTGCCTTAAGCACTTGAATCCAATTAGAGTCACTGCATTATTTCTGTGGAGGTAAACGTATCTAAGGAAATATGTTGAACAGCAATAAGACAGACATCAGGGCAAACATTGTATAGAGAGTAAAAGCTGTTGTTCATGGGAACCTGGGGACAGCTTGCCAGCGTTGTGCCTCCCTAATATCCAATTTCCTCAACTTAGCGATGGCGTTGATAACAATCAAAAAGAGATAACGGCCTTGAGCCCGAGGCCTTCTTCTCAAAGATCTATCTATCTTTCTTAATTACGGTGTCAATTTGATTTATAGGAACGCTCCAGCATTCATCTTCACAGGAATTATGTAACGCAAGGTGTTTTAGAAAGGTTTCCACAGGCCTTGAACATTATTAAAAGCTTATAGAGTTGAGGCGATACAAAATGCTCTTTCTTATCTTAATTAAAACCTAACTAACTCTGCTTTGAGAAGAGGATTTCTGTGCAAAGCAGCTGACCTGTTAACAACATGTTCTCTCTTGTTTTCTCCACTGCAGTGCTTTAATGCCATTGTGGTTGAGGTCAGGTGTTTTTGTTCTTTATCCAAAAAACAACAGCCTTTTAAGAAGCACCACTCCAGCAACACTCAGTGTGGTAAAGACGGGACTGTCTCTGTCTGCCAGACAGGCTTTCTAGCTCTCACATGTCATTGTCCTGATACAGTTGTTCAGATTTATTGAGGGTAGACGTGAACAGGTGAATAATTATTATTTTCCCTAAATCCTTAGTGCTGTGAGGTACACCATGTTTGTAAACTTTATCTTGACAAAAGACTCACTCAGCTGTCTGGAGCTCAAGAAACTCGAGCAACCCTCCTTTGAAATATCTCCACTTTCCAAAAAATGCTTTACATTTACATCTGGACACATGTTGTGCTCCAAAAGTTTATCTGAGCATTTTAATGCGAAATGACCCCCAGTTAATCTACGTTTATTTATTTTAAAGTGACTGAGTAAGCATCATTTAAAGTGTGCATGTATGTATGTCTTACATCTTCGTCTCCACACACATGGATCCCATCCGTTGTCCTCAGAAGCTGGGATGAGTTCAACATTTGACCCTTTCCTTTTCTAGATGGAAACTGTGATCTCTTGCCCATTCGAACAAGTATGCACTGACACATGTATATGCTCACAAGGCTTTAACTGAGCATCACACAATATACTCCTGGGATTTACTCAACAAACAAACAAATATTACAAATATACAAATGCACGTTTTTCTGCAACAGCATCCGTGTTTCTTACTATCTGTAACGCCGTGTAGACAGCAAGCATATCAGACGATTTTTATTTGCACTTCTGACGCAACAGATACAATGTTATTTGAATCTATTCAACTGGCTACTTGCAGTATATTCTTTTTGTCCCTTCAAAGCCTTAAGCGTGCAGTTAAACTGCTGCATTTGGCCCTTTTCACACTGCTGTACTCTTAATGGAGGGGACCAGTGTATAGCACATTTGTTTAGTCTCCTTTTATCCAGAGGAGTACTCTGGATAAAAGGAGACTTGTTAGTGGAGGACGTGAGTTGCGAGAGACAAGATGGGATCTCACAGGAAATGTTCCTTCTGGCTTGATGTAGATGAATGATGATGAAGACACCGATATGGCCGGTATGCAAAGAGAGATCAACAAAAGAGCGCTCACAGCAACAGTGGTGTTGTGCCTGTGTGAATGTGCTTTGTGTGTGTCTGTCTACAGGCTTGTGAGATAATAAAGTTGAGGTTTCAGTGTTTTTTATTCAGGTGTGTAATGCACATAGTGGTGCGTTTTATATGCACCTCTGTGCTTATCAGTCTTGTCTTTTCAGTACCTGCTCAGTCTCATTATTCTTATCTTCATCTCCATTACTCCCCTGTTGGCCCTCAGGGCGGACATTCATGATGGAGTTATTCTGTCCTGGTGCTCTATAATTCACACGGGGCACACAGTTCAGCCACTCCTTCCCCGGTCTTCCCCTTTTCTTTTGAATGACGTGACAAAAATTTGGCATCAGCACCTTTTTAGAAACGATACTTGAAATGTTCCAGCCTGGAACTGTTTATTGAGGACAGCTCCAGGACCCAAAGGGAAAATCATAGTAATCAACAAATGACTGTGACAACCTTTGTGGCTCAACTAAGGCTGAGAGTAGCATCGGTTGATGGTATGAAACAAGTTTAAATTATGATTTATTAGCCCGGCTAATAGCCCACAGAATCAGTTAAGGCTCACAGGGCGGATGTTAAAACAACTACCAGCCAGCTTCTGATCTCATGATTCGGCTATTTTTTTTCTCACTGCTCTCTAATTCACACCGGTCGGACAAGTCAGCCACTCCTCTTTAGGGTCTTTCCTCTTTGTTTTTTTTGGGGGAATTCTGCACCCTTTATGCACGAGCAAAGTCATTTTCTATAATCCCTCATCACCTTTTGGTGGTTAATCATCGCTTTTATACTGTATATAGCTATGTACATGTTAATGACTAAATGAAATAAAAGCCGGTGTATTGTTGATAAGAACATCCCTGATCACAAACATTAACAGGTTGAGCCCTGAGGGGGTTTTACCTCGCGTAGAGTTTTGCTTTGAACTGCGAGGCTGTTCTGTATTTGGTAGACCACAACTCTGTCTTCT